TAGGGTAGAAAAAAAAGGTTAATATATTCAGCGATATTTATCGAAGCCCCATTAGGTACAGAATTACCTAACCTACACACTACTGCCACTACTGACATTACTGCTGATAGGTTAATGGATGTTTTAAGTAGCAATTAAACCAGTTTCAAAGTACATTTTAATCGTTACATCGTATTTGTATGTATTTTAAACGTAACTACTTATTCAATAATAGATAAAGTTATGCAGGGCTCGTCGAATATATTTTTTGTAAGCTTATTGATTTCAGAAAATCTTGTAAATAAATTTCAGTGTGTCTTTGATGTGTTCTGCTTTTTGTTTATATCTAAGCTTTTCTTCTACATACACACATATAGCAAAGTTAAATATTATGAACCAAGTAATCAGTAAGGACGTAACTAGGGTTTATACTTTTACCGTGTTTTTGTTTATCTTCAATTCTTGGTAACACACCGTTTGTTCATTAACTAAACTAACGCTCCTCGACACTAGTAAACGTAGAATAGTTATGGTAATGAGAAGCGCTTCCAAAAACATCCCATGTTCGTTAGCCAAACAAGGAATGCTTGGCGTCAACCTATGAATCCAGGATCAGGCTGTATCCTGTGTGTATGTCAATATTTAATGCGATATAATTAAACTAATCGCGACACGTGTTGTGTGGGCGACGAAATCAGACACCTAGTTCAGTGAAGCCTCACAAACATCGGGAAACAAGATATAGCTTACATAAACGTTTTAGTACTATAACTGGGTTATGAGAGCAATTGATTCGTCAAAGGTTTATAGGAATACATTCATTTGTATGAGAACACTTCTGCCGTAACCAAATCAAATTAAACTTGCTCTAATCAGCCGACTCAGCACAACTTGTTCATTTAAGAGATCCTAGGTTCAAAATCGACCTATTAATTATTCTGATAAGTCATAGTTTTGCACAATTTACCTTTCGTAGGGCTTATGTGAGGAACAGGATACCACCATCCTGCCTATCGCTACCGCCAAGAAATTATGCGTTCCCTTGCCGTTAATGGATAAAATTAAAACTGTAACGGAGGTATGGTTATAAGCGCTCAGTAGTACTAACAGCGACAGTCCGTGCGGTAGTTTCGGAGGAATGGGTGCCGGTTGCCTTTTACTGTCTACTTTTTTAGATAAATATGAAAGAGTGATTAAAATATATAGTTTTATATGCATCTGTGAGGAGCTCTGTGTGAACTGCTTTCATTCATTGATGTTTCGGTGAGAGGTCGAAAGTACGCAGATTTCACTTACGTACGACTTTGAAGCCCGACCGATATACCAACTTGATCTTTTAGAGGTTTGCCAAGGAAATTATTAAAACAAAAATGTTTTGTAAATGATGAAATAGTTTTTTCTACATACTTCAGGAAGTGGCCGCAATCTCCCATTAGTGGGAGCAGCTTGCAACTCAGTACTTATAATAGTTAAAATTTATTAGATAAAAGGGTGGATTCTTTAGTGAACTGATTCAATAGGTATTTTTCCTAGCCCAAAATGGCTTAAAACAAATATCTGTTCTACCTAACTACCTACCTTGCAGCAGAGAGCTGCAAGAAGAATAAAATGATTACATTGCACAATAAGATGCAAAAACAAACACTAGAAGAAAATAATTTTCAATTTCAGTTAAATTTTCAACATTATGTCAACATTAAGTTCAACAGTTCAATAAAAATCAAGATATAGTACAGCACAATACGACGATAATCACATAAACACAACCAGTACTTTTTTTTTATTGCTTAGATGGGTGGACGAGTTCACAGCCCAATTGGTGTTAAGTGGTTACTGGAGCCCATAGACATCCATAACGTAAATGCACCACCCACCCTGAGATGTAAGTTCTAAGGTCTCAAGTACAGTTACAACGGCTGCCCCACCCTTCAAACCGAAACGCATTACTGCTTCACGGTAGAAATAAGCAGGGTGGTGGTACCCACCCGCACAGACTCATAAGAGGTCCTACAACCAGTAATTACGCAAATTATAATTTTGCGGTTTTGATTTTTATTACACGATGTTATTCCTTCATCGTGGAAGTCAATCGTGAACATTTGTTGAATACGTATTTTATTACAAAAAATTGGTACCCGCTTGAAAATCGAACACTAGTGCATCGCTCAACACGAATGCACCGGACACTTATCCGTGAGGCCACAACGACTTTAGTTACCTTTGTTCTTTTGAAACTAGGTCATTTGACAATTTGTGTCAAACGGAGGCACCTTTAAGAAAACACTGAACAAGTTTTTTATTCTTGCAAGTCTATACTTATGTTGTTCAATATGTTATAAGTTTCGAGTTTCAATTACAACGGCTGCCCCACCCGTCAAACCTAAATACATTACTGTTTTACAGCTGAAACAGGCAGGTGGTAAGCTCACATAACATCTGACTTCTAGTAATTATGAAAATTGTAATTATTGCAAGTTTGATTTTCATTACATGATGTATTTCATTAGAAAATCTGGTACCTGCCTGCGGGATTAGAACTCTGGCATAGTCACATCAGTTAATACAAATTCACCAGGTCTCCTTATCTTCTAGGCCACAACAACTTCTATTTAGGCCATCAGGACTTCCATGTTTATGAATAATATGATAAATAAAATTACATTTTACAATCACTTCCAAAATTTATGGTTGTTCAATTTAAGCAATTTAAATTAATTGTAAACAACATTATTACATAAGTTACCTACTCTATATTAAAGTTTACTTACATGATATGCCAATTTTAATGTAGATTCAATTAATACAAAGTTTATCAATATTTCTTAGTTTTTTTAAAAGTAGTGTTAATGTTTGAAACTTTATTTTAATTAAAAAAATATTTTCGTTAGTTTTTTTTACATTGAAAGCAAAAAATTTAGAAAACAAGTAAGTACCTAGTCACTGCAACATATTTCTTAATATGAATCTTCACGGTCAACAAAACCCGACGTAAACGATAGTTTCGCGAGAATGTTAATTTTACCTTGCTACCTTGCGATTGTTTTCACTCCTTTATTGAATTACAAATCTTTAGTACATGTCTTCCACTGAAGCACTTTGACAAAAAATCAATCAATTTAAATTAAGTATACGTTTGTGTTTGCGTTTAAAATAAAATTATGTAGGTCTGTATTTTTTTGGTAGAAATGTGTACTGCACAAACCTGCCAGGCTCGCAGCGCCGTGTCGACTCCAAACTCCCACCGTCATTATGTTGAAATTAAAGAACAACAAAGTAACCACAAAGAACTAATAGTAAACATTAATGCATGTTTAATTTAAGATTAAAAACTTAACACAAATTAATTAATATCAAAACCCTAAAATGCGACTACCAATATAACGAAAATAAAAGTTTAAAAATAAACATCACAACACATGCACTCCTACTAAATGATAAAACTAAACTGTCAAAAAATAAGAAGTTTATCTATGTGAAATGCTGTCAAAGGTGCGAAACGTCTATACGTCAAACGTGATCTATACGTCAAATGTCAAAATATGTTTTTTTTAAAACATTTATGGCCTGGTAGTCGACGCGTGTGAATAGGTAGCAAATTATCATAAAGCCGAGCTCTTAGTCAGGTGAATATTGTTCCACGTCCCTTTATCCCAGTTTACAGCTTATTTCTTACATAATAAATATTCTTGTTGCAAATTAAATTATAGTAACGAATGTAATGTTTCATTTAGAATTTGTAAGCAGATTTAAACAAAGATTAGTAAAGCACTCTAATCATATATTTTTTTCTATTCTATTCTATCAGCCCATGGACTCTAATCATATAACTAGATGTCTATTACTGGTGGCCGAATCTCTTGTGAGTCCACACGGGTAGGTACTACCAACCTGCCTATTACTGCAATGAAGCAGTAATGTGTTTCGGTTTGAAGGGTGGGGCAGCCGTTGTAACTATACTGATGATACCTTAGAACTCATATCTCAAGATGGGTGGCGGCATTTACATTGTAGATGTCTATGAGCTCCGCTAACGACTCAACACCAAGATGGGGCTCACCCATCTATGAATATAAAATAATAATCTGGTGGTATCTCAAGGTGGGTGGCGCATTTACGTTGTAGATGTCTATGGGCTCCAGTAACTACTTAACACCAGGTGGGCTGTGAGCTCGTCCACTCATCTAAGCAAATCTATCTATCAACAACAAAAAAATTAATAAATGAAATTTCAATATATCTTTTTATCGAAAATTCATCTTTTTTCCCTACCAATTCGCTGGTGGACTAAAAGGCTATATCAGCCACGACCGGAAGGCTCAGCCTGAGAGACTTTGCTAACACTAGCCCTAGCAAGAGCAGTGCTTCACAGAATCTACCACCGGATCGCGGCCCACTGAGAAGATCCGGCGAGAAACTGAGTGGGCTTCATTCAAATAAGTTCATTTGTAGCTTTGCTACTTGTTTGATTTTCTCAAACAAAGTTTTTCACAGAATTTTTGTAACTCAAAACAACATTCCCTGTCTCTCGTTCAACTAGTATCTACGTTTCGAAAGTGACAGATATGGTACTTGAAACACTAAATACTGCTGAAGATAAAAACACGTAGAAAAGAATTGTGAACGAGTATTTAGATAACAGTCTTCAAGACTCACCTCTTCAAGTTTCAAATACTGACTGAGAAGAAGAATAAGGACATACATTTAAATAAAACCAAATCATCAGCATAAAGACAAATTGCAGTTAATTGTGCATTCAACATATATAAAGTAATCTGTGATTGCAGTAATAATTTAAATGGAATACGGTACATAAATGTCATAATTTTTTACTTTCTAATTGGTCTGTTCTGAATCTCATGTACCTGTGCTTTATAATAGAAGTATTCGTTCACTTTCCTAATACCTGTGTTTATAAATGTTTGACGTTCCGCTGATTGCTCCAAAACTGCCTTTCCATTTAAATAATAGAATATTTTTTATTGGTGGAAGTAAGTTAATCATGTCTTTCTCGAATGTTGCCAGTTGCATTTGCCACTTGCCATAATTTACAAAAATGGCAGCCTTCATGTCGTAAGCTTTTCTTTTCTCTTCATGAAAAGTTTATTACTAATCAACGTATGATTTATAATGCCATTTGAATATTTTTTTACTGACATCGTTTCAAACAATCAAAAGTAAACATCGAAAGTTAGTAGTCATGCACTACATACTTACATAGTGCCAGTGAGTATTACGTGGTTATAGTTCTTTTTGTGACTAAATTTCACTGAATTGATATCCATGAAATGATTTCTTATTACATACTAAATTTTTTCACTTTAACACGTAATTATTGAATATATTTTAATGTTTCAGGAAGTATAAATCTCGATGTGTCTACGGGGTTGAAAGGATTGAAACCGACACACAGCTGTAGTTGAGTTATAGTAAGTGTAACAAAGAAACGATGAGTGCGAGTAGCGTGGCGCTGGAGCGCGAGCTGGCAGGCACGCGACGCTTGCTGTGGGGGGACCACGTCAAAGAAGATGTTTTCCGACGTTGGGCGCAAGGTTTTCAATTCAGTCCTGATGAACCCAGCGCCCTCATTCAGCAGGAGGGTGGACCTTGCGCTGCGATCGCCCCAGTACAAGGATTTTTGCTTAAGATTCTCCTATCAGAGACTCCAGGACATAGTTTTCAAGACTTAACATCGGAGAAGTGCAACTCTTTACTTGTGAGAGCTGTGTGTACGATTTTAAGCCAGTGTCTAGCACCTAAATACAATGTAGCTGTTTACCGGAAGAATGAGTCTGGTGCGGAAACAAGTGGAAGTAACAGCGTTAGTGTGGATGAACACTCTAGTGATACCATTGAACATTTCCATCGAAGAATCCAGGTACATTCGTTTCAAAATCTGTCAGAAGTGGAGGCATTTTACACAAGGAACATTAGGATATTGAAGGACAAATATGGTGTTCTACTTCTGTTATATAGTGTGATTCTCAGTAAGGGTATAAGTACAGTAGAAGCAGAGCTCTCTGAACTCTCAGACCCCCTGATACATTCCACATATGGGTATGGATCACAAGGTCTCATCAATTTGATGCTGACTGGACGAGCAGTGGCACATGTGTGGGATCATGATCAAGTTGTCAGTGGTTTAAGACTTAGAGGCATAGAAAAACAAAATGACATTGGTTTCCTGACTATCATGGAGCATATGCAATACTGCACTGTAGGGTCGTTTTACAAGAGCCCTAAACATCCTGTTTGGGTACTGGCTTCCGAGACTCACCTGACTGTGCTTTTCTCTCTAGAGCGTCGATTGGCAGCACCAGAGAGTGCAGGAGAATCTGCTGAACGAATATTCAGATCATTTGATCCTGAAGGCAACAATTTCATTCCTTCAGTAGCTTTGCAGGATGTTCTGTGCGCTGCAGACTTAGTCAGTGAACCAGAATATGTGGAATTAATGAGGCGGAAATTAGACACTGAAAACTTGGGAATAATTTTGTTAAGTACTTTCATGGATGAATTTTTCCCAGGATGTGAACGTGGTGCTCCTGACACATTCACCCTTCACCATTACAATGGTCTTGAGCGTAGTAACCCAGGTGGCAGAGTTGTGTACCGCACTGGTCGAGCAGCTTTGCTCGAGTGCCCGATGCGTGCTGCCACCACAGACCCCATGTTGACCTGTCTGCAGACTAAGTGGCCCAGCATTGATGTTGTCTGGGACGATGGACATTCACCCTCGCTCAATTAATGTGCGTGCTATCATCCGGTCTACTTGTAACTAATTGGTTAGCTACACATGCAGCTTATTTGCTGTAAAATTTCCATTATTTTATTATTAATAACTTATATATAAAATTATATCTATCCAATAGACCTGTTGATTTCCTATTGGATGACCTTCTCATTGTAACATTGTAATCAAAGTTGCAGAACTGAGGCACAAGTCTGGATCAGAGAGTCACCTGGTGATAGGGTTCATTTTATGTTGTTTCTTATCCTGTTTGGCATCATCTGAGGCATAGTGTTTTTTTTTTCTTAGTAAGAGTGGACATTCTGACTGCTGAGGCCCGCAGTCAACTTGAGATTGCAGTCCAAATTTTCAAGCTGTTTTATTTAATACTGATTGGTAAATATATTTTTTGTAAAAATATATATATTTTGTATAATATTGTTCTATTCCATTGAGATGGGACACAGGGACTGGCTGTCCGCTAATTGTCACTGCATTGCTACAACTATGCACAACATTAATACACTGATGATGTTGTTTTGAAACATTTTGTTTACAAATTGTAATATTTTATTCCAGTTTGTACGAAAATGTTAAATTCGAAGGAAAATACAACTTTCTGTGAAAATCAGGTGTATTTACCTATATTAAAATGAGTAATTACATAGTTGTACTTTTTATTATTTTTCCTTAATCGCTACCTTAATCTTGTCGGTGTAAAAATTAGGGAGTATCATTTCTTCTATATTTTCTTTCTATCCAAATGTAAAATGTTGTTATTAACTTGAGTTGTTTGTTGACAGTGACTCACCTGCTATTTTTGTTTAAAGATGTTTTCAGATTATCTGTAGGCAGTAGGACTGACTGATTAATGTGGGCTTGACAGATTATCTGTAAGCGCTGACTTAGATTGACTTATCATCTGCTTTCGGAGACAATAAAATAGCCGTGAAAACGTCGTCATTGCTTACCTTTGGTTCTATAACATCTCGTTTCTTTAGCTTCGTTTCGTGAATGAGCTCACGGCCGATCTGGTGTCAAGTGGCTACTTGGACTCATATCATTTTTTTTTGTTTTTTGTATTGCTTAGATGGGTGGACGAGCTTACAGCCCACCTGGTGCTAAGTGGTTACTGGAGCCCATAGACATCTACAACGTAAATGCCGCCACCCACCTTGAGATATGAGTTCTAAGGTCTCAGTTTATTTACAAAGGCTGCCCCACCCTTTAAACCGAAATGCATTACTACTTCACGGCAGAAATTGGCTGGCAGTACCTACCCATGCGGACTCACAAGAGATCCTGCCACCAGTAATTACCTACGCAAGTTATAATATTGCGGGTATTGTTTTTTCTTATTACACGATGTTATTCCTTCACCGTGGAAGTCAATCGTGAATATTTGTTGAGTACGTATTTCATTAGAAAAATTGGTACCCGCCTGAGATTCGAACACCGGTGCATCGCTCAACACGAATGCACCGGGCGTCTTATCCTTTAAGCCACGACGACTTATCCTTTAGGCCACGACGACTTCTCAAACAATCACAATGTGAATACCTCCACACGGGTAATAACGGGGTAATTAATTGTATAATGGCTATCTAACTTTTCAAAGCGAAATGCATAAGTGGTACGTGGCAGGAATTGACAGAACGGTGATAGCCACTCATGCAAGCTTACAATACACCCTACCAGTAAGTTCCGGTTGACGATCGCAGTACGCTTGTATTAAAAAGGCATAAACATCATGCAAAGCAGAACCTTAGAAGATCTTTGTGTGCCGGTAGCCATCACAGACCACAACATATTTGACAGATGCCTGAATCTTACGACCACCACGACATTCTCACGATAAGCTTGGATATTATACCTCGTCGTACAGAAGGTCGTGGCCTAAAGGATAAGACCTCCGGTGCATTTGTATTTAGCGATGCAGCGGTGTTCGAATTCCGCAGGCCGGTATCAATTTTTCTAATGAAGTAGGTACTTCACAAATGTTCACGATGACTTCCACGGTGAAGGAACAACATCGTGTAATAAGAAAAAACAAAACCCGCAAAATTATAACCTGCGTAGGTAATTACTGGTGGTAGGACCTCTTGTGAGTCCGTACGGGTAGGTACCACCAGCCTATTTCTGCCGTGAAGCAGTAATGCGTTTCGGTTTGAAGGGTGGGGCAGCCGTTGTAACTAAACTGAGACCTTAGAACTCATATCTCAAGGCGGGTGGCGGCATTTACGTTGTAGATCTCTATGGGCTCCAGTGACCACTTAACACCAGGTGGACTGTGAGTACGTCCATCCATGAAAAGCTTGAAAAAAAATATATGTTCCGAACTTCAACATTCGGACCGTTGGTCTACCGAGCAAGTACACCCGCTCGGTGGAAGGTCTTCCTTTCGTCGTGACCTGATTCGCCAAACTTTGACTAGGTGTAGAGAACCGTACACCGTTTTAGTTTCTAAAACCGTTTTACTTCAGAAGTTATATACGAGAGAGTTTATTAGAGATAAGGCTATATGTGACAAACCGATTCTTGTTTTCAGTAAACTTGCCTACTTATGTCTTCAACGGGTTTCATTGAACAAAGTTTTAATTCTCCCTATTCGGAGATCATCATGCCTATTTTGATTGCGATACAGCTACATTAGTGTAAAATCTATAGTAGATAGTCATTCTTGAAGAATACAGGTGTCGGTAATTCATGGTAGTGACTTTTTGGCGGGAATCTGAGTGATGATGCTGTTTGAATTCATATATTTTTTAAATTTAATATTTTTTTTAATTAAAACGTTTAATATTATGCGTTTAATATTTAATATATATTATATACATTTATGCATTCAATTTCATATCTTAATCAATTTCAGATTACTCGACTTTTTTATACCTGCTTAAATATGTTTTCATATAAGTATCTTAGATAGTAGGTAGGTAAAGTAAATTATAATAAAACAAACGACTTTGTGGGAACAAAAATATATTTTCTTTCCTATCATACTAACTGTGACTGTGATATTAAACTACAGAAACTGCTCAGTCTACGGAATTACGGATCAGTATACGGCACTCTTATATATAAGATGGAATTACTACGGAGCTGCTGAAATCCGGAGGGGTTCCTATCCTGAAGAAATTACGGAGCCTGTACAATTCCGTCATACACAACGGGACTACACCATTGGCGTGGACAAGGAGTCGGGTCGTGTTGTTCTTCAAGAAAGGTGATAAAACTTTGTTGAAGAACTATAGACCGATATCTCTTTCGAGCCACGTCTACAGGTTCTTTTCTAGGGTCATTACTAATCGTCTCGCCCGAAGGCTTGATGAATGGCAGCCACCGGAGCAGGCTGGGTTTCAAAAGGGTTACAATACCGTAGACCATATTCACACCCTCAGACAGATTATACAAAAGTCTACAGAATATAATTTATACGAAGCCGCGACGATGACCGTACAAATCCAGGATTGCCAGTCTAGACCTATCAAGCTGCAGCGGGCTGTCCGACAGGGAGATGTTATATCTAACATCTAAGCAATAAAAAAAATATATATACATAGTCAGGTCATAAATTCTGTCACGTGTTTAATGTAAAATAATTGAAACAAGTTTATTCATTATGTAACCATTTATATACCAAAATGAACTTAACAAAACATAGATTCTTATGACACTAAAGTTTATTCAAAATGACCTCCGTGATTTTGAATACAGGCCTTCAATCTGCGCGGCCAGTCGTCTATCGCAGCACGAACGAGGTCCATGTCAATATCGGCGGCTG